AGCAAGGGGCGGGCGCAACACCGAGGGTTGCGATCCCGTTGCCGGTTCTGGTCCGGTACGGGCGCGACACTGAGGGTTGCAATCCGTTGCCGGTCACGAAAAAAGAGACAAAAAGACAAAAAAAAAAAAAAAGTGTCTTTCTAAAGCAGCATATATTTGGGGTTTGTGTTCTTTCTTTCTTTCTTTTATTGAAACATAATTGATTATACATGTTTGTGGGGTACAGAGTTGAATATCAGTACTTATCTACAATATGCGATGATCAAATAAGGATAATTACCATATTCATCATTACAAAATGTAAGCATTCTTTGTGGGGTTTTGTTTTCTTTCTCCAGTTTGAAACTCTATAACTTTTCATTGGAGTCCTTAGTCCATATACATTTAATGTAATTTTTGTATATATTTGAGTTTAAATCAACCATCTTACTATTTGCTTTCTATTCAACCCATCAGTTTCATGTCCCTTTTTCTCTTTCTTGCCACTTTTTGGATTTATTATAATCTCAACTTTTTTTTTTATCTATTATAGTTTGTATATTATATATTATTTTACTGAATACAGTATTTACCATAGATATTACTATATACATTCTTAACATCTTAAGTATAACATAATTTAATTCATTTGCCACTTCACAAACAATGCAAAGATGTAATATATTCTAAATACATTTACCATGTCCCAATTTATGTGCTATTTTGGTTACATATATCCTCTCTTTCCATCACTGCAAATAAGTTAACTCATAAATTTACTATATTTTCACATGGGCAGTTTTATATAAGACATATATAAGCAATTTATTTAATAAGTGAGATTAGAAATAGGAACTTTCCTCCAAAAGTGAAATTAAAAGCAAAGTGTGGCAATTTTTTTTTTTTTTTTTAATAAATTGTTACAAGCACACCTACGAATGGAAATACCACCACACTTTAATGGAATGTTTGCCTATCTTTAATCAATATGCTTCATCCCTAATCATAGCCCATGTTACTTCAGAAAGTGCTTATAAAATAAATGAGATAGATTTTAATAAATCTCATCGATGAGGTAGCCTGGCTAATTGGAAACAGCCTGAGTATTCTACTTGGTGTGGGAATTAGTTTTGGTTTTCCTGTTTTAGGAAAACAGTTTTAGTTGGCTCTTATTTCTGTTTAACAGTATAGAAGAAGGAATGAATGGATAA